GAAAGACCTCCATCTTTAAGTGTTATGATGGTCTGTCTCTCTTCCATTGTTAATTGCCTTTTTCTCGCCATTTTCGTAGCAACACACTACTTTCTGCAGTACAATACTGTTCAGCTGATGCTCATGAGGGTCTGGTACCACAGTGTGTTCCAACACTGCTTTTATGGAGACAGAGGGGGTTGTATGTCATCAAGAAAAGTTGGAACACCTGTAGGAATTAGTAGCACCAGCTTTTAAGGCTGTTTCAACCTTCACTGCTGCAGAACAGCTTTAAATTGTTAACCCACTTCATGTTTCCTGGAAAAGGAATTTTTGTAAAATTCTGAAATGTACATTATTTTTCAGTTTTGTGTAACCAAACCTTTTTTTTTAAACCTCTGACTGTTCAGTACTTACCTTTGTACCATTTCAAGCTATTCATTGGACTTGCACAACTTGAATTGCAATAAATAACTGGAAAAATTAGGGTGTTCTAAAACTTTTGACTGGTAGTGTATATCTACACATTTGTTATATTAACTACACAGTATGTTTGTATCTTATGTTAAATCTGGTAACATGTCGCTTTAAGTTCATCTGAAAGCAGTGCAAAGACACTGAATAATAGACAAGGAGATTACCATTTTTACTATGTGTTTATGTACGTTTAGTATACATGCTGAAATATATGCTTACAGATGCTAAATGAAATAATGGTAAATAATCAGAAGGTTGAAGATCATAATAATGTCCATTTGTCTCAACAAGTGAAGAAAGCTTTACTGTGGTTGTTTTTTGAAAGTGACTTTATCTTCTTAAAAGGTACTTTACTAGGTCACAAGATATGGGGAACAGCTATCATTTGGGTTTAAAAAAAAAAAAAGTTTTAATGTAAACATGTGCTGCATAAAAACAGAACATGCAGTATGTGGCCATTGAGCCTCACCTTGAGAAGAACAGGAGTTGTAGATGCTCTAAACAAAAATGAATTCCTTTGTTTTTCTAATCCAAACCGTGTGTGACATGTTATATTTTGCATTTTGAATGTTGCACAGCCAAAGCTTAGACCCATTTCTATGAAAACAAGACTCTGATGCAAAACATGGCAGACTCGGAGCCATGAGAGCCGTACCAGCAGACTTTTTCCCCGTGGCTTTTTGACAGTCAGAAATGCATTGCCAAAGTCACCGGTATTTATATAGCACCATTAAAACAACAGATGCTTTCCAGGTGAGAAAGAAAAAAAAATTAAATATAAAGGTTAAAACCCAAAAATACATTATAAATATCGTTCATGTATATCTTTTCAAAAAGGCATGCCTGTGACCAGTTATGGTCTACACAAAAATCACAAAATCACTTTCCTAAAAGGTTAGAACTAAACTGCCTCCTTATTTACACTTTGGCAATATTACGTACACATTAGAAGCTTGACTAAGTTTCTGCACCAAATTTACTGGGTTAGACTTACAAAAAGATCATTGACTGGTTTAAAATATGACTATTTGACTACATTTGAAGCTTCTCCTCCATTTTGTGGTTTACCAAGTGATGAGTCCCATTTCATCTAACATGATTGGTTGGATAAAATGACATGATAGTTAAGTGATACAATAAACGGCAAATTATGACATGAAATGTATTTATGATATCACATAAACAAACTTAGGGCTGCAAGGTGGCGCAGTTGGTTAGCAGTGTTGCCTCACAGCAAGAAGGTTGCTGGTTCGCGTCCCGGTGGGGGCAATGGAATCTTTCTGCGTGG